TTCTTGTTGACTTTCATCATTATGCTTCTTTTCTTGGTTGTCATATTCCTCCTTATCTATTTCCACCGCTTTAGGTTGATAAACTCTTTTTATGGTGTTCTTGAGCATATCTTCCGTAGATGCACTTAAACCATGAAAAGTAATACATTTCCCAACACTATTTGGGAAAGACTCATCAAAATTAACTTGAACTGACTCTTTGTTAATAAGTAATCTCTTGTTATAAACTCTATATGCTTTAGTCGATTGTGAGTATCAAAGAAAGATACTTTCATCGGCCTTCACATCAAATTTCCCAAGATTATCCTTTCCATTATTTAAAACAAAACATTTACTTCCAAACATATGAAGATGCAATAAATTTGGTAATCTACCTTTTAAAAGTTCTTAAGGAGTTTTGTCAAGAATAGGACGAATAAGTATCATATTCAAGACATAACATGTCGTGCTTATAGCATCGGCCCAAAAATATTTTGGTAGGCCACAATTATTGAGCATTTTTCTTGTGAACTCCTCTAAAGCACGATTTTTGCACTCCACTACACCATTTTGTTGTGGAGTTCTAGAAGCTGAAAAGTTATGTTCAATACCATATTTATCACAATATTCTTCAAAGAGGTTGTTTTCAAATTCACCTTTATGTTCACGTCGGAATGAAGCTTGACATTATTCAATCATACATCACCACCGTAACATCTGACCAGTATATCCCACGCGCCTTTTGACGTCATCGAATATGATATGGTCGAGTAAACCATGCTGGACCAACCTTTCGATTAGAAAATGGAGCCATGGTCGAAACAAACTCGTTTCGCTTCGTAAATATCATCACAAAGCTGGTAAAAGCCTTTTGGAATTGTTGGCCTTCATCTGTTGGAGTCAATAGAGCCAATCTGGTTCCTTTGACCCTCCTGTTGAGAATTTCTGGAGTCTTCTCATTAATTATGTTCTTCTGAGGAAGGAATGATTCGAAAGTGGCATTAAACCAGAGTTGGAGAAGCCAGAAAGGGCCAAAAAGAAGCAGGCTTGCTCTATTGCCTATAACTTTGAGTTGAGTCACACTATTACTGATGGACTCATAAAGATTGGCCAGAATTATTTCAGTCAAACAAAGGTTGTAGCCATGGTGAAGTTGAGTGGCCAGAGTAAGCATCTTCTTTGTTACTTGGAGTGACTTAGTGCAGAAAACAAAACGGGATAACCCTAAAGCTAAGAAATCTATAAGTTCTACTTCAGAGACAATATCAGTTGATTTATCATGAAAGTGGTTAATGAAGGTGGTATGAGTGGGTTTCGTGGCTGAAAATCCAATGGTGTCTTCAGACATATCATCAGGGTCGAGGTAATCACCAGTTGGTCGAAGGCCAATGATGGCTTCAATATCAAAGAGAGTGGGTGTGACCATTCCACAAGGTAAATGGAAGGTGTAGTGTGTGATGTCCCAAAAATACAAAGAGGACACCAGCATAAGAGGACAATAAGCTAACCCAGTCTTCAACAACATGACTAGGTCATAAATTCCCATATCTTCCCAGATTTGGGATTGAGCTGCTTCCATCTTAACCAACCACTCTGAGTATTCTGAGGTCAAGCTAGGGCAAGACCTGAAGATTCTATTCCCTTTGTCCAGGAACTGAAGGTTTATATCCTCTTTCGTTTGGGAATGTTGTTGGTTGGCAGGCGTTGCATCTTCAGGTTCATTTCTAGGCTTCTTTGCCAACCTATGGGTTTGAGTCTAGGGTGAGTTGGGAAAAAGGAGTTGTTTTGTTTAGGGTTTTCAAAACACACAGACAACGGACCAGACATAGCATACATTTGTCCAGAATATATGACAGGAATGAGTACCTGTGAGTTATATGCATCGCGTTCTTCTTTGGTCATAGGTTCAGGAATGAACCTTTGTTCCCCAGATGAAGCATGAATGGAGTTGGTTGGGAAAACATCTATTTGCTGTCGTGAATCATAGGCGTCTTTTGCCTTTGGGTTGTTTGGAGCATTTGAAAGAAAGGCCATGGTTTTGTTGGTAGAGAGATTATGAAAGAGATGAAGTTTTTAAGGATTTATTTTTGAATGCAAAGAGACAAAGAATATCAGACGGTTGGAAAAAATTCAAAAGGGAGATGTTTGTGGCTATTTATAGAAGCCATGGAAGAGTGTAGAAGCCAGGGAAGAATGTTTTCCCTCAAAGTCATTTAATGCTGCAGAGTGAGTGGGACACGTGGTGATCTTTGAAGCAGTTGTACAGACAAGTGATGGGAACGCTTGCCATGCTTTCCTAGGTTATAGGGATAATGGTCATCATGATAGCATGTAACGGCTGACTGATAGTGACATATTGGAAAAAGTGTAATAATGGCTCTGATGCCAACAGTGGTTGGTAGAAGACGAAAAGTTGACTGTGAACTTATGTGACCATGAAATGGATAGGTGTCGAATAGAAACATCAAAGAATGGTTATTTATCCTTGTGTCGAAATTGATATTCTTGGGGGGGAACTTGTTTGCTCCTAAATTCAACACTCACACATATTGACCTTATTGGCTAAAAATAGATTGAAGAAATCTAAGCTGAAGACACTTCGACAGAAGAGCCTATGAAAGGAGTTGTGTCGAAGTCATCCTTGCTAAGAAGGAGGAAACACTTAGAGAATTTTTTTAAAGACAGTCTTCGACCGAGAGGCCCTTGTATCAGCAGCAAGTGGATTTGAATTTGAAGAAAGGGGGGAAAGGCAGTTCATTTGGCAGTTAGGAAAAGCACAGTGGCATGAAGATATGGGTCGAAGAGCATGTAGAGGACACTTGTCCTAATCCTGGAACGGAACAATTATTCGACAGTTACTTATTACTAGTATAAATATAGGAATTTTATGTAGAATTTTGTGTGTTTAACTTATTGTATAAGTCACTCAATTTTATTCAAGTACCCGCTGTGAGAGAAAGAATATTGAGAATGTACGTTTGAATCACCATACTTTATTGCAATCAAAGCCTTTACATTTCTTTACAATCCTTGCCATTTAACATTTCTCTGCAAACTTTACCATTACAGCCTTTTAAATTACTGCAAATATACTTTATCCTGCACTTTACTTGCGTTTTTATCAAGTTTTTATCTTCATCCCACCTTTACTCTTAGTATCCGGTTGAACCTGTTCATGAACAAAGTTAAGACTTTTTATCAAACTCCAAAAAACACTTAGCATATGTCCTAGGATCAAACTGATTGATCCTACAAGTAACCAAAATAACCCTTTTGGAAGATCAGTGATTGTTTACCAATTTTCACGGTAAACAGATACACTTGAAACAATACTTTGTAACCCTCCATCTGTTATTTTGGAGTATTGTAATGATTTAACGAAACGTATATAACATAACAAAGAAGCAAAAGGTTGTGGAATCACCTGTTTGTCGATAACGACCATTTCAAAGTGTTCTTTGGTAGCATATTTGACCTGACTATTTGTTAAGGACTCTCACGGCTAGCTTCCACAACTGTTTTTTATCAGTGATATCGTGAATCTCCTCGAACAGTCGCACCATTCTCTTCGTGGATGCAAGACGGTGGCCGGTTACGATTATTAGAACGAGTTCCAGGTTTAGGTTGTAGAACGGAGATTGTAGACGGTACAAAGTGGTTTTGCAAGATGAAAGAAAGAGAGAAAGAGGGTATGGTATAATAGAAAAAGGTTGTTCAGGTGAGGTGACGATATAGGGAAGCGTGCACAACAAATAGATATTGTGTAGGTTTTGCAACATAAGTTAGGATTGAGATAAGTTTTTAGTTAGTCTCAAGCCATTTGTACGTAAAGACTAATAAATGCATGGTTGCATCTTAACAATTGGTCACATAGTTATAGTAAAGGCATCAAAAGACTTGAAGTGATGTCAAAGTGACAATGTGAAAGATAAACAAGCAAGGAAAAGTGGTTTTAACCAAAGGATAGAAATTTCTTATATGGTAGAAATACATTTTACATCTTTAAGTGATTGTTTTGCATGACATGCTATTATAAAGAACTTAAAATATAATTATAATAAAAAATTAAAATTTAATAATCAAATTATAAGTTAAATATAATATAAAATTTTAACAATAATATGTTATAAAAATCATTTGACAAAACGTAGATATTAACAACTGATATATTTAAAAAATGATATATTTTGATAAACCAATTAATTATTAAATTATAAAATTATAAACTAAATGTATGATAAATTAATGATATATCATAAAAAGAAAGTCATTAAAATACGCAACATAAATTTTTTTTAAAAAAATTGAGATTAAAAAAAATCAAAGTTTGAATATTTTTTCAAAATAAAAACTCATATATTTTGAACAAGCAAAAATGTATTAACAAATATAAAACTAAAGTATAAATTTATGCAAAGATGTTTTCTCTATACAATTATTAATTATTAATTTTATAAAACTAATTTAAAATAGTTTTTGAAAAGTAAATCATACATGCCCTAATTTAGTTGATTTTTTAAATTATTTTTTTAATTAACGAGAGAATTCAGTTAGATCTTTTTTCTCGGATGCATATATTTAACCACACTATATTCATGGAGGATTAATATAATATATACTCACATTCATAACAAAAAAACAAACTTTTAAAAAAGAAAAAACAAACTAAAGGAGATATAAACATCTTAAAAAACAAACTAATCTTTTAAATCTTGTATTTTAAAAAAGAAATCGGTTTTGATTTGATAATTTGAAATTAATTTGTTATCGCTAAGAAGATATGAAACAAACAGTGAAGCTTAAACTCAGCTTCGCTGTAAATCAGCACACCAAAGATATATATATATATATATATATATATATATATATATATATATATATATATATATATATATATATATATATATATATATATATATATATATATATATATATATATATATATATATATATATATATATATATATATATATATATATAGTAACATACACTTTGATAGAATTTTCATCAGTTTGAAGCTTATGGAGAATTGCGATTTTGCTTATAGAATTTTAGAAGAACCTTCAAACGACGAGAGTTGCAAGAGGAAGAACAAGAAAACAAAGGCAAATAGGGAAAGATCAAACAAGCCATCAAAGAAACTAAAGAAGAAAAGAAGCAACAAGGTGGAACTCCCGTTGGCGTTTAAAGAAAAAATTGAACAAATGGGAGGCGATGAGGTGAAGTTCGTGATCGAGAAGGAACTAACCAACAATGATGTGACCGAAACCAATGGTCGTCTCTCCGTCCCAAAAGGAAAGATTAACGAGAGTTTTCTAACACCAGTGGAGGAATCGTACTTGAATTATGAGCGTAATAAACAAGAGAAGATTGTTGATATTTATGTATCTCTGTTGGATCATGATCTTAACCTTTGGGATGAAATATGCTTAAAGAAGTGGAAAATGGAGACCGCTGAAGTCTACAATATCACAGATGGATGGAACGAACTTGTAGCAGATAACAAATGGAAAAAAGGCCAAAAGGTGTTGGTGCAACTTTGGTCTTTCAGACGCAACCACAAGCTCTACTTTGCACTCTTCAAGCTTTCAAAAGACGAGTAGTGAAGTTTTTTTATGGTGAAATATTTTACATTTCTTTAAAGAAGATTGTTTTTAGAGAGTGTTTTGGCATTTGTGCTTCTAGATTTTCTTAAGTTTTCTTATTTCCTCCTTTTGGCAAGATTTTGTGCTTCCTTAGTTTTGCTTATGTGTTGTTTGTTGCAGTAATCATTATTTTAATAGTTGTTGTGTCTTGCTTAATTTTAGTTTTAATTTATTATTCTTATATATATTAATGAATTAAAAATCATAGATATTTTGATGAAGTAGAAAGAGCATATTAAAGAGAGTTTGATTATCTTTATTGTGTGTTTTCAATATCTGGTAAATGATTAAGCAGCTGAGTGCTTACAGAATCTATGATCTGCTTTGTTTTTTGTTCATGTGTGGAAGTGTGGATTGTTGGTGCTTAATAAGCCACCACATCTATTGCTTGCATCTTTTTACTGATCAACATGGTTAAGGCTAAAGCAAATAGGGCAACATAACTTGCAGCTCAAGCAATTGCAAGCTTGATGATTTGGTTGCAAAATCGCCAATGTGTTTGGATGTAATTATAATAAGGAATACATGTTGAGCAATGGAGGAACAAGGCCAGGAAGCACACATCATATTGAGACTATTGCAGATCAACACGATGTGTGAAACAGTAGCAAGTGAAGTTACAACACTTCAATTAGACTAATGTCAAATATTGTATCACCACATTATCAACAAATCATCTTAAAAAATTTGCTAATGTAATTTTATTATTGTTGTACCCCAAAATTTTCCCTCCCATATTTCTCAAAACATTTCAAGAAAGATCTCCAAGTTGCTCAAAGAAGCCCAAGGGTTGGCCAGACAAACTCTCTCCTAAGGCAGTCTACTCCAAATTAGGGTTTCATGTTGCATCAAGATGCTTGAGTCCAAGTGGTTCCAAATGCCTAACACTGTCCTAATATGTTCTCAAGACCTTCCATGTCAAGTCTCAATCCTTGCAGAGGAAGTTTGCTCAGTCAATTGCTCAAAGGTCCAAAAGTCGACTGTGCTAGGGCAAAAGTCAACTGTGGCCCACATACAGTCAAACTTCAATATTTTTGGTCAACATCCTCATTTTGAAGTATATTTCATCATTTGATCAAGGGTTGATCATGATTCGTCAAGGATTACTCATAATTCACCAAGACTCAAAAGTTGCTAAATTAGGGTTTTGTAGGAAAAGTCAACTCAACTTTGACCAAGCATAACTTTCTCATACTTTATGAGAAATGACCCATCCAAAGCGCATTTTGAAGAGGATGCAATTCCCTACAATCCATCTTCATCTCCCAAGTTAAAAATATGCACTCACAAGAAGTTATGAATTTGGACATTATAGATAATTTTGAAAAGTCAACAAAAACACCTTTTTTGTCAAAGCTTCATACATGAGCATGGAATATCAAATCGAGATGAGACTAAAAGGGTTGATTAGAGGACACCGCAAGATTTCTAAAATGTCCAAGAACACCTCCAAAGGTTCCAAATTGAGGAATTTATGCATTGGTGAAGTTGACCTTTTTTGCAAAATTGCCAAAAGTCAACTATCCCCAAAACTTCAAATTTTGCCAAATGGGCCCATTCTTTTTCACTTGTTTTGAGTTGGCAACATAGCCCACGTGCTCTAGCCTTTTCCACTCATCCATATCTTATTTTTATTATTTATTTTGATTTTTATTTGAATTAATTTGATTTAAATCAAAGTAAATCAAATAAAATCCAAAGCATTGATAACAAGAGATTTTGTGATGGTTTCAGGTTCCAATTACACAACTGGCATCATTCAAATTCGTGCAAAGCATTAGAGTGAAAAAAAAGATTGAAAAAAGCCAAATTTGGAAGGTTTTATAGGGCAAATCAAATCAAATCCAAAATCATTGATGGAGAAGGATTTGGATGCAATTATCAACCCTAATGCCTTCACTCATACATAAGGAAAGAGGCCGGACCAAAAGAAGGGTTGGAAACAGGCGAGAGAGAGAGAACCAAATCTTAAAAAAGTCAAGAAAAGTGTGAGATCGAAATCCCACTTAGAGGAATTCTCAAGACTATTGAACGATCCCAATCGCTTCCTGGCACTCCCAGCAACCTAAAGCAATCAAGAACTAAGTCGTTCAAGCCCCGAATCGCTCTGTAAGTCGTTCGTAATACACCCCTGTTCTTGAATTCGTATCTTGTAATTTATGCATTGTTAACATGAATTAATGGCATATTGTTGATCTATGAGGCATTTGCAAACTTTCTGCATTATTTGATTTCATTTATATGGCATGTAGCGTTAATCACCATTGTTAGATTTTCGAGCTTGGTTTTAGGGTCTTTGATTTCAGGAACAATTGGCCTTTGTAAGTGGTACGGTTGTGATCAGGAGGACGAGAGGGACACAACCATGGCTTTAGATGTTATTTCCATGGCCTGTAGAAGATTTTGGAACGAGCATGGCCTATAGGGACGGACAAAACGTCCGTAGGTAAAAGTATTTTACCTTTACCCACGGAGAGAGGAGGAAGACAATGAGTTGTCATCCCATCATTGGCTTGTTTGAATTCTCGTGCCAGATCTCCACTAACGTTTGTTTCCATATATTATTATTCTTGTATATTTTATGAACAAATAAAAACAGGTGGCGTAGTGGTGGCCACGTGAGCGTTAAGGCTTTAGAGGCTGGAGGTTAGGGGTTCGATCCCTACATCCAGCATTTGTTATTTTCTCATTTGTTTTCAGGCAATTCTGTGGGTATGCAAGCCAAGAGATCTACCGTGGGTCTTCATCATCAACGCGCCAGATGGCCAGATCTGGTGGCCACCATTGAGAGTGCACCATAAGCCAAGTCAAAGATGCCATACAGGATTACAAAAGTCAGCGTGGACCTCCACAAATGGGCCCAGATTCTTGCTATTCACACCTTCAAAAATGCTTAACTCAGGCCTATTTTCTCATCCTTTTTCTTTTTTACATTTTTATTAATTATTTCATTTAATTATTTTTACTAACAAATTAAAATTTTCTTTTTTTTTTATCAAAAATCACCAAAAAAATATTTTTATGTCCAAAATAAATTTAGAATATTATTTTTTCATCAATAAATTAATTAATTAAATTAGGTTTGATTAATTAGACAATTTTAATTTCCTTTTGTGAATAATTAAAATCAATTAGAATCAATAGGTTTTTATTACTAACTTAATTATTTTATTTTATTTTCTAAAATAACCAAAAACCAAAAATATGTCATTTTAATTATTTTCATTAATTAATTTAATAACTAATTAATTTAGCATTTAATTTAGAAAACTTATTTCTTCTAATAAAAACAACAAAAAAACAATTTTCCTTTTTAAGTAAGATGGAAGGGTCAAAACCCTAGCTTCGCGTTCGATCTAATTTTCCCGTGCATTTTATTATTTTGTATCCAATTATTGTATCTGCTCCCGGTTTGTAATAATTTAATTAGGACATTTATTTATTTTTTTATCGCTTTTTATTTCAAAGGGTTTGTTTTTGGCTATGTAAATACCCGAAGCCTTGTAATAGCTTAGTTTAAATTCCGCACTTTAATTTCTGAAAATATTTAACTGTTAAATGTTTGATAATAGGGTTTGCATGACAAGAATGTATGTCTAATTTTAAAATAGTTAGATCACCCTAAATGTGCAAAGATAAAATAATTTGAAATTGACACACTCGCACATGCGCACTCCTAGGATACACTCCCACTTGGTTGCCTTCGGTAAACGGTCATTGAGTATAGGATGTTTTAGTGGTCGTCCTTTTGTCCAAAGATCATAGTTGCCTCGGATATTGTTGCCTTAGATAAATGATCTAAGACATTAGGGTTATTACTAAGACGTCCTAACATTGCTTTAGTGACCGTACGTCCCTTTCGAATTGACCCTCAAAACTCCAACGATGGTGCTACCTATTCACTAATAGTAGGATAGCATTGTCTAAAGGAAACAAGCATAGAACGATTCTTTTTTCGAGTAGGTAGATTAGCTCTTAAATACTTGCTTATCCCAAACAAATTTTTCACACTTACACTCCTTTATAAACGAAGTTTTCAAAGACACTTCATTACACTCTTGAAGACAGAAGAAAGAGTTAAATCAAAGTTAAAACAAAAACTTTTCAAAGTCCACAAACACAAAGAAAATAATTTTGAAAATGATGAGCAAGTACCTAAGAGCCCGTAGATAACTACAGATAGAAAGGGTGTTAATACCTTCCCTTTCTATAAATCTATCCCTCGTACTCAGAAATATCTCGAAAAAGGAATTTTTCTGTGCTTTTTTCCTTTCCTTGTTGGATAAAATAAAAGACGGTGGCGACTCTTGCTTACCACAACATTTTTCAAAAACAAACGCAAAACACAAACCAGCAAAATTTTCTTAACGAAATAGGGAAACCACGTCCCGGTTCTGGCCACCGTATCACAGAACTCGTGACTCTGCTGGGGAATTAATAAGTGGGGTGTACCTTAGGATTAGTTCATCATATTGTTTTCTATTGTTTGATTTTATTGCTTTATCTTTGTGGGTTTTTTATCGGAGTTACTATAGATCCTAACCCGGATCTGGGGATACCTTTTAGGTAAGTAGCAATAGACTGTGAGGGAACTGTACGGCGTAGACTGATACGGTTGAAGTAGTAGCTACGTTGGTGTGACACTTTAGTTGGTACCGATATCCCTTGTGTAGGAACAAGGAGAGTATGGGGATGCTAAGGGGTCATTAAGCATCAACTGACCTTAGAACCTATAATTGACCAACTTGGCCATAGAAAAGTAGCAGTATGCTACACTCATTAAGACCATATTCTCGCGATGATTCCGGCCGCAAGAAAAGGTTTCTAAACTGGAATTATGACCGATCGAGGATGGTCAGTGATATTGAGATCCTCTAGAACCCGGTTACTATTACTAGGACAGGTTGAACCAACTAAACTGAAAGAGGGTAATACCTAAACTCTATGCCAACCTGAAA